AGCTTGGTTGAATGACTCATATGCAATCTACCACAAGACTTGCATAAAAACATAAAAATGATAAACATGATGCTCAGATTTTTGAGGGAGATTCTCAAACTTAAAGAGCATAATTTTCCTTCATTCAGAATTTGGATAAAAAAGATAACATAAATGCCTTTATGCAACCTCGAAGTTAAACTATAGATTATCTCCTTTGCCAACCAACCATCACAGATAGGACTAGTGGTCAATAAAGACTTATGTAATTAGTATAAAGCTGAGAGCGAATGGATCTAATTCATGGTGATCATCTACCTATGATTTAAACTTTTATGAGTTTCCTTAATAGCTAAATGTAGCAGAGTTATGCAATCATCTAATGATAATAATTAAGGTGTGCACCATGATAATAATAAAATAAAACAATTGATAGGCCTGGTATTACGACGTGTGTACACGGAAGAGAGTGAAAAACGTGATAATCGCGCGAGAAAGGAATATGGTGCATTATGTGCATTAGTGGGCCCGATGGGAGTTTTATAGTTATAGTGGCAGTGGAGCTAGAGTATATAGCGTAGAGTTTTTGTGACAGGAGGGTATCTTTTTGCTATTAGTTGTTTTGGTTATAAATAAAATTGATAGGCCTATCATAACTAAAATTGTTGGACAAGGCCTATCATAAATATTATATTCTTTACCATGGCTTGGGTTGGACCATGAGTTTGCCCTTCCCCTCGTACGTATTCATGAGTTTTCCCTTCCCCTTGTATGTATTTTTTATTAGTACATATTTGTCCTAAGAAGTGTGGAAGGTCACGTGTTTATATTTTTAAGGTTTGAGTTAGTTGGACGAGGTAACGAGTAACGATCATGTCACCTTACTAGTCAAAAGTATAAACTTTTTAAGTTTAACTCCAAACATTTTTCTTTGACCCTTTCACTTAGACGGTGGCCAATTAGCCCAACCTCTCACAACTTTTCCTTTTTCAACTCTTCGGTGCTTAGTTGGCCCCTATGAGACTTTACCCCAGCTGATGGTTAGTTGTCATCCAGTCTGCACAAGCCAAGTCTGGAATGGCTAGCCATCACCTTTCTTTTAAAGATCTATATCCACATTTTAGAGGAGGGTAATTGCCACCGTCTTTGGAATAACATTTGCATTTATATAGTCATACATACACAATTTCATTTTTTATTCAGTGATACAACATGGAAAACTTTCAAATCGATCACATAAACATTCAACATTCAAAACGAATATCATGATCATATGATATCCCAACTTAGCACTATGACATTTCGGTAGAAGAGTCACTTTTATTAGCAATCCAAAAACTGGTTTAGCTCAACATGAAAGTTCTTTGGTCGACCTGAATAAATCTCTGAAATTAAAACTTTATTTGAGGGTTAAATCTAATTTTACCAAACGTTATCCCATCATTCCCAATCTACTCTGCCTAAAGCCTAAATGTATAAAGGTTCCAATGGTTATAAACTATTATAAATACTTTAATTCAATCCAAAAGGAATTTATATGAATGAAGCATTACCTACTAGCTCATACCAAACAAACTTGAGTTCTTATTCGTTTGTGTTCGAATGTATTCGAACTCACAGATCTGAACTTTACAAGCTATGGGTATTCAAATTTGAGGTCTTTTAGAGGGTGGGTAATGAAATTAATGCAGATTGGGTTGTCAATGCTTTCATTGCTGTGGGAGTGTGTAAAGGCCCAAGCCCAAGCCTACCGCTAGCTGATATTGTCCTTTTTGGGCTTTCTCTTTCGGGCTTCGTCTCAAGGCGTTTAAATTGCGTATGCTAGGGAAAGGTTTCCACACCCTTATAAAAGATGTTTCATTCTCCTCTCCAACCAATGTGGGATATCATAGAGTGTTTATTAAGAGCCTGCTGGATTGTCCTCGAGGAGTGGGTGCTTGCGTGGTGGGAAAAGAAGAGAATCGGATCAGAGGTCTGCTGTAGTTGCACGTCATGAAGCTTGTGGGTGAACTACATTGCAGGTTTGTTCATCCTGGGTCTACTATTTGTGGAGCGCGGTTGCGACTGGTCAATGGAATTGTGCTAACATAGATAAATATGGGTTCATTTGAGGAGCTATGACGTCTCGATGTCGATCATGGGAGAAAGTTGCACGCGTTATGGTCATCTGTTCACTGGAGGAGTAGCATGAGTTAGGTTTAGTTAGATGACGTCCTCTGATTGTGGTTACCACCACAGGCTATCGTCGCGAGTCATTGGAGAGGAAAAACGGTATGGGTGGCTGTTGGCTCCTGGTTCACGAGGGAGGGAGAAAGAAAGAGATAGAGAGAAGAGCTGGGGTTTTCTGATTTGTTCTTTTTTGTTTTTGTTTTATTTGTTCTTCTGGATCACTTAGTTTAATCAAGATATGATTGGATTATATGGCATGATTGTACTTTCCAATGAAGAATATCTGATTTTCTTGGCTGTTTTGTGCTGCTACTCTATGCCACCTAATCAGACATCATGTAATCTAGGAATGCTATTAAACTATAGGCCTCATCTATTGCTAATGTTCTTCATTCATTTTGTTTGTTTTGTCACCGGCCAGCTATACACAAGGGAAGCTTCCAAGATTTGGAAGCTGGCTGGATCAGACGGAAGCAGCCAGCTAACGATCAAAGAACCGTTAGCAAATATGGTCCTGTTGGATTACGTATCATCTGAAAAATGGCAAGATGTGGTGGACTTCGATGATCACCTCGACGACATTAGCCAGTACGACACAATCCCCCTCTTTTTGAATATTGCATCATCAATCATGAAAGAAAGAAGCAAAAGTAATCTTTTAAACTTCAAAAATTTTGCAGGGATTGGTTGAACCCAGACCTCTTCAAGTAGAGAAAGATCTTTTCTTCACAGTTGCAAGGCTTGATTGCTCTTACAAGGATTGGTTGGAAACTGGAGGCTTCTTGTGCTTCAATTACTCATCTTTGAGATGTACTCACAGAAGCATTGAGAATATTGTTAGATGTATTGTTATTAAGTATTCAACCACTTTTATCTCGTTAGACTTCGATTACTCGTCTTTGATTCGATATACCGAAGCTCTGGGCGTTGAAGCGTTTTAGTGTTTTGAGTTAGGGGTGGATTATGTTTAAGGAGGTAGTTTGGATGTACTCTGCACTATATGTGTCATTCTTTTGTTGAGAGGACATATACTCACAAGCATTGAGTATTAGTTTAATGGTTGAGAATAAATTTGAGAATTACTCAAAATGGTATTCCTTGTATTGGTTTTAAATGATGCGTTTTACGCTCATGTTTACGTTCACAACTAGAGGTATCCACGAGGCAGGGTAGAAACAAGAAACCCGTTTTTACTTCTTATTTCAATCTTTATCTCTATGAAATTTCTTTATTGTTGAAATTAGGGCGGGATTCTCATTGGAGAATTTTTTTTTAAAAGATTATTAATTTTAAAGAATTTTTAATATATAATTTTCATTTTTTAATATAATAATTATTAAAAAATGTTCCTAAGCAAAAATATCATATAATTTCTAAAAATCTAAAATTTAATATTATAATATAATATTTCATTATGAATAAATAAATACCTATAATATTAAGCTACCCTTATTTTTCATTTAAGATTTTACATCTGGTTGGGTGAGTCTCGAGTCCCACGTTCTCTTCCTTCCCGTCCCGGATCATATTCCGGTGCGTCCACAGAAGAGGAAATCGCAATGCATCTTGCTCAGCAGGCGTAGCTTGGAGTGGGAGTGTATGTAGGGTGGGTAGTAAGGTAAGGAGGCCACCAGAGAGGAAGCCAATCGCATTGACTATATTTAGAGAGAACTGGAAAGCCTTCTCCCGAATTATAGGAGGATGTGACACAAATAATGACTCTCTTCGCCGGGATGTCAGCAGGTTAGGCAGCTCTAAGGGTTTTGATATTCGGGGTGGAAGGCAAAACTCTGACACAACCAAGTGAAACTAAGGGTCTCTAAAAGAGGGAACGATCTGATCTATGGGGTGTTCACTCTCGGAGGACGGCTAAGAATGTCCCTTAAAAGGAGCGGGGATGGGGTCTTTTCAATCAAGCACGAATAGAACGAGATAAAGGGGGTGTGCAACCTAGAGAGATGACCATATCTCTTTTCTGAATGACATATTTATTCACATTTTCACGTATATTTATATCATTTTGATATTTTTTTTTTATATAAACCCTCATAAAAAATAATAAATAAATATTTATAACTTAAATAATTATTCATTTAATTAAATATTTTTAGATTTTATTTCATGGATATATTCATAAAATTGGAAATAATATTTTAATATAGAACCTAATTTTTTCCTACTCCATTTCTAATATTTTGCATACTTATTTCTTTAATATAATTCAAACCCCAAACCCTAATTTAATTTAATTAAAAGTCTATAACTAAATGGAATAATTTTTTGGAGTCGGACACAATATTTCTCTAGTTTACTTGTTTTCGGGTACAACTTGGTTTTGAAAGACATGACATTAAAAATTGTAGAGTTAGTCATTTCATATCGAGCCATTGAAACAGTGTGTCATACTATAATTAGACAATTCTATCGTAATATAAACAAATAAAATACGAACAAACTCTTCTTTTATTTCTCTTGTTCAAATATTTTCTCATCCTTTGCTCGTTTCTCTACTGATGCCAAAATGACCTTCGAGATTCTTATAGAAATTTATATACTTTTGCACGAGGATGGATAGCGGGAAGCTCAGAATCATAAAATAAAGGATGGGATAGGAATGTTGTTTAACTGTCGAGATCTCTTGCTCGGTGTTAGCTCCTACCCTTCCCTTACTTTCTTAAACTTTAAGGCAGAATCATACGACGATCGGAAAGAAAGACGACCTCGTTTACCCTCTCCCGTTAACCTTCGTTGGTGGATGGAATCTTGAATGCTTTAAATTTTTAAGAGTAAAGTAATTTTTCGAATAAAATTATTATTATTTTTTAAAAAAATTATATAGGAGCTTATCCAAAGGCGGCGAGGGGCTCTCAAACCAGAGAAAAACACGATGGCTTTTCTTCTCTGCTCCAATCCCCTCTCCATCTCTCTCCATTCATCTACATTGTCGCCGTCGCCGTCGCCGTCGCCGTCATGTTTTCCAGGGAATTTCTCCGCCCTGAGTAAGTATCTTTCGCTTCCCCTCCTGGACCTTCCTTTTCGCGCCTCTGTTTGACGGGATCGAACCTAGCCCATGTTTTTGTCTAATTCTGTATATTCATTTCTCTTTGTTCTAAAGTTTTTTCGCTGCGTGTTCATTTTCACGAACTTGAGAAACTATTTTTTTGTGCTTGATTGAAAGAGTTTCCTCGCAGTCATTTTTCATTTGTCAGGCATTTTCAAAACAGTTGGTATCTGTGTGTAGAGACTGTCGATTTTACGCTTCTCATTTCTTGTGCGTTGGATTTCGCTTTCCTGATTTTGTATGCTGAATGTTCTGTTACTTGTTCATCATCCTCAATTTGATGCCTAGATTACAGTTTCGTAGTCATGAAATGCGGTTGAATGTGTGTCACTAAACCGAAGAGAGATTGTTTGGAGTGTGTCATCTTTTATGCATATTCTTAATCCGTTTGAATGCTAATTTGATTCATGTAATGCCGAATAGGAGAAATTAACATTATAAGCATTCCTAGTATCCCATGGTTTGATAGACAACAATTTAAAAAATGAACTTAATCATATGCTTGAGCGGATAGGTTAGAAGATGTTTAACCTCTGGTTATATTATGAGCTTGTTGGTGCAACTTTAACTTTGATTATATGTGGTAGATCCTTGAACTTTAAAAAAAATCTCTAGTAGATTTCAACATATTAACTAGTCCTAAACTATTATCTGTGTTTAATTGGTCTTGAACATTAAAAACGTCTCAAATATCAAGGCTTATTTGACACAAAATTAAAAGAATAGAATTTGTTAGATACTTTTTGAAACTAAAGGTTCTATTAGACACCATTCTTAAAGCTTAGAGATCAAAGTCATACATATTCTTGGCTTGGGATGGTTAATTCCCTACATTTTATGTATCTTAGCTCAATTTCCACTCCTTTATTGTGGTTTCCATTTCAGATTCTATGTCACTCATGAAGCCTACTGGGTTTCAGCCAAAACACTTCAATGGGGTTCGACTACGAAACCCCTCCTTCGTTGAAAATACGGTGTCATTTATTGTCAAGGCTGCATCTGAGATCGATACTACGGGAGAAACCGACAGTAACGAACCGAAGCCCTCTGCAGAAGCTAAAAAGGAGGACGTTCCAGTTGACAAACTTCCATTAGAATCAAAACTGCAAGAGAGGCTGGAGCAGAAGGCAAGGATGAAGTTGGCAAAAAAGATTAGGCTGCGGAGGAAGCGGCTTGTTCGGAAACGCCATTTGAGGAAGAAAGGACGATGGCCTCCATCAAAGATGAAGAAGTTGAAGAACGTTTGACAATCCTTCAATTCTTGCAGGTTTAGAGGTGACCCCATTTCTCCTCATTGCTTCCAACTTTCTCTGTCTAATTTCTTTATACTTTCATGAAAATGTACTTGCTTCTTTATGTATCTGAAAGAATCCAGTGAGTGATGGAATGTGCAAATTGTGCTCTTAGTTTTGAATGACTAATGGTCAGTTGAAAGGAACTGAATACTTGCCTCTAGACTTTGGTTAGAACATTCAACTTCCCATCATATAGAGCTTGCTAAAAAGCCTTGGTTCATTAGAAGCTTTTGTTCCTTTTAAATGTACGTCGAGATCAACGCCCCCATCGAGGGACAAGTTTGAGCTCGACGTATCTGTCTTAATTTGTCACTGACTGGTTGCATAGAGATGAAAGCTAGGGAGAATAGACACTTCAACAAACAAAGAATTCTGGCCTTCGATGAAGATTGAATAGTATGTAGGGATAGGAAGTATCTGCTTTTACATGCTTTGTAGGAAAGGATGGCACTCATGATAGCAACTCAAATTTTGGATATCTTGTCTTTTAGGATTTAGAGCTGATTTGCCTTTCTGCTGTGGATAAGCTTTGTTCTATTAATGTGTTTGAGAACCCGAACCCATCAACGGAGGGACAGCTTTTAGAGTTTGGTATAACTTTTAACTCATTAAGTACTCATCAAAGTTTCCGATTCAAACCTCAGATCTCTTGATCAATGCCATATGTCTTAACTACTATGATTATATGATTTTCAAATAAAAGTCTATACAAAGGTAAACGTTTGTCATGCTTATGGGTTTACTTTGAGTATAAGCTCTCATGGCTTTGCTTTGGGCTTCCTAAAAGGCCTCATACCAATGGAGTTAGTATTCCTCACTTATAAACCCACGATCATTTCCTAAATTAGCCACCTCCTCTTAATCGAGGCTCGCCTTCGTACCTTCGAGGAGGCTTGACTCCTTTTGGAGTCCTTTGTTCAATATTTAAGGATTTGCCAATCTATTGGCACGACTAAGTTTAGGGCATGGCTCTGATACCATGATAGACGAACACGACTTTCCACAATGGTATGATATTGTCCACTTTGAGCATAAGCTCTCATGGCTTTGCTTTGGGCTTCTCAAAAAGCCTCGTACCAATGAAGTTAGTATTCCTCACTTATAAACCCATGACAGTATTCCTCACTTATAAACCCATGACCATTCCCTAAATTAGCCGATGTGAGACTTTCATCATCCAACAATATATATTATAGGTAAATATATTGTCTTGTTTCTATTTTGTTTATAATTTATTTGATTTTGTAAATGACTATAAATAGGTTTCCATTATGCCCTTTTAATAAATATTCCGATTTCGGTGGAGTAGTTTTAGCAAATATGTGGTGTTCGTATTATTGTAAATCTAAATTCAAGAAATTTATTAGGTTGATTTAAAAATAATAATTCCAGCATTAGACCAATTCAAGCATTAGTTTGAATGGAATAATGCACTCCTATATTTACTTCTCTTACTCATTAAATTACTGACTAACACCAATAAATTAATTCATTACTATAAATTTTTTCCCAAAAGTCATTAACTTTATGAATAAAATATTTAGAAAATATATTTTAATAATTAGGTATGAAATATATCTTAAATATCTTATCTTAAGATTTGATTAACAGTATATTTTATCTCATTTACAAAATTTAATTAGTTATATATTTTCCCTTATTTTTAGGTATGGTTTATTCCAATTCTATTTCTTTTTCCGAGGATTCAATAAAACTCATTAAAATTTAAATAAAATTATAGAAGTTAATTTGGATTGCTAGGTAAATTTGGAGGAGATAGACTTAATTTTAAAATTATTAATTATTTTTTATATCTTTATTTTAATTTAAAATAGTTTTAATTAATATAATATTAATTTTTTTTTTTTTTTTAATTTCAACTAGTTGAAATTTGTAAATTAATGATTTGTTTTTTAAATTTCAAATTAAAAGTTTGAAATTGAAGAAGGTAAGTTGAGGTTTCTTAATGGAAATTATAATAAATTAATGAAAGAATTAGAAAAATCCAATTAATTAAATCCTTTATTCAAACAAGGCGCTAATTCATAGCCACTACAGAAGCGACGTCGTTTTAAAGGGATTTCCAAATTCCTCCTCCATTTGAACTCTCACTGGAACTCCTCGCTTTTTTCACCGGCACCTTTTCTCCTCTCTCCGATCATCTCCACGGTCTCTCTCTCTCTCTCTCCGTCGGGTTTGGCTTTTCATGGACGGCGGCAGACCATTGAGCACCGGGTTCTTGTCCTGGCGGCGGACCTTGAGCTCGAGATTCGCGCTTCCTTTGATTCAAGACGCCGCCAATTTGATCATGGAACATCGCGGCGTAATCTTCGGTGACTGTGCCGAACCACGAGTCGATGATGAGGAGGACGAGAATGGATACGACCGTCGGGTTTTTTTGCGGAATGGGTCGTCCTTCATCAAGCCTATTTTGGTACTCGACTTGTTCTGGAATTTGTTCTTCGTTTTTGTGTCCGTGATTGTGCTGGTACTGTCTGCTGAAGAGAAACCTTCCGCTCCTTTGAGATTATGGCTTTCGGGTTATGCTGTCCAGTGCCTTCTCCATGTCTTTTTTGTGTTCTTTGCCTACTTTAGAAGGAGTTCTCGCTATCGATTTGTGTTTGAGAATCGTGTGGCTCAGGATGAACTTCGCCTTTCTCATAATCGAATAAGGTAACTTTTTCTTCTCGGAAAAGTTTGTTTGGGGGATTTTTTGATGGAATCGATTTCTCTTTTTTTGTCTAATTTTAATTTATTTATTGGGTTCTTAGAATGTTTGTGGTGCCAGTAGTGAAGATTATCTGCTAGTTTGTGGCAATTTTTATCAAATCGCTTATGATCAGTATAGTTAACTATTGGACTCTACGCATGTATCATCTCATTTATTTCATGTTCTTCGTGGATTTTAGGAAATAAAAAACCACTCAAGTTGTTGGAATGGTGAGTTCATCTTTCCATATTTGTTGTAGATCTTTCTTAATTGGTCGATTGATTATCATGTGGTTTTCTTTTAGATGTAACGCTAACTCGATTAATCGAGTTCTTCTAGTTTAATTTCGAAGGGATGCTGTATTTTGAACCTGATTAAGAATTTTTATTTTATTATGTCAACAAGAATTCTTTTAGCTTTTTTCTTAAAATTTCATTGGATTAGGTTCTTATTTCCATGTCTTTGAAGGATTTCACACTTAAAGAGCAGGAACTTGTTTCCCATCAAGATATTTGCATGTTTACTTATTATTCTTCTTCTGCCATTACATATGGAGATGTCATCTATCTTTCTATTTACCTCTCTGTTTTTTCCCTTAGATTTTTGAAAAGATTGGAAGCATCGAACACAATGATATCATATATCTGGTGGGTTTTTGGATTCTATTGGATTGTCATGGGTGGTCAATCTCTTTTGGAAGGCTCTCCCCGGCTCTACTGGTAAATGCTCCCTTCTAAGATCTTGAAACCTTTTTTTCTCTTGCTAAAGTCGTCTATGGTTTAAGATCAACTTAGTAGAATTATGATATAAACTGGTAAACGCTTCTAAAATTCAATCAGATCTGCCAGTTTTCTTGAATTATTTCGTGGGGATAAATATATCTTGAACTATACGACCATGCTGATGGCAAGGATTGACCCGCTGAAGTATCTCTTTGAAAAGCAATGCTTGTGTATTTTTTGATCTCGATTCTTATATTACTTGCAAATGTGCGAATGAAAGCTGTCAGACTGAAAAAAGTATTCAGGCTATGTTATCATATTATTGTTTAGCTAGTTTCAGTTTCTTCTTGTGTGCCTGTGGCTGGCTCCCGTGGGTTCGGCATTGTTTCATGCTGTTGGATTTTTGTTTATGTTGTTTTAATCGTTTTATAGTTGTTTTTTTGTGTGTGGAAACTTCTCATTTAACTGATAGAAGTCACATATGAGGTCTCGCTAATGGACTCATGATATGAACCGCAGGTTGGCAGTGGTTTTCCTAGCCTTTGATGTGTTCTTTATTATCTTCTGCACTGGGATGGCTTTTGTTGGTTTCTTTACTGTTTGCTGCATAATACCATTTTTAGCATATGGCTATACCATGACATTCCTAGAAGGTGCCTCTGAAGATGAAATTAGAGCACTTCCCAAGTACAGGTTTCGCCAAGACAATCCACTCGAGTCGTTCGACAGTGACAAGAAACATGAAGTTGGGATGACCTTGGAGCCTGGCTACAATGGTTATACTACTGAACACCTTCTAAATCCAGAGGACTCGGTGAGCAACAGTCTTATTTTTACTTGCATTCTATTTTCATCTATTAGGAACCAAACACTCTGCAATGGTCCAAGCCTACCACTAGCAAATGTCCTCTTTGGGCTTTCTCTCAAGGTTTTTAAAACGTGTTTGCTAGGAAGAGGTTTCCACACCCTTATAAAAAATGTTTTGTTCTCCTCTCCAACTGATGTGGGATCTCACATCTTCAAACTCATAAAATATACATCTTGTATCATTCCTTGAACAAAATTTTCCTATTTAAACATATGCCTATCGACCTGTTAACTATTGTTATGCATGTAGGTCTTGTAGCGAAACAAGGTTATCCGTGTTACTGTTGCAAAATAGTTTGAGTTTTTCTTTAAATGCTTTATCCAACTCAAACAGAGTCACGGGTCTTTTTTCCTCGTAATGCCTTTGTTATGTAGCCTTGTAGGACTCTTTGCTATGTGATCAACTCTACATTGTATTATAATCGTAGGCATGCTGCATATGCCTTGCCCAGTATGTACATGGAGTACAATTGTGCATGCTTCCCTGCAGTCATCATTTCCATACTCGATGCATTGTCAAATGGCTTCGAATAAACGCAACCTGCCCCCTCTGCAAGTTCAGCGTCGGACATGGCGATTCCTTGGTCTGATTCACGTATCGATCGAGTTGGAGCATTCTCGAGATCTCCTGAGACCTCAAATGGAAACACACACACACAGAATCACATGAATCATCTCTTGGAAAAAAGGTAAAAGTTTCCATAAGGGTCACTCAAAGTGTAGATAGCTTCTTCTTTTTGTTGTTCCCTTTCCCTTTTAGATTACTTAGGAGATCATATCAGTGGGGAATACTGTGAATATACACACTTTGATGCACAGCTACTAACTTATATGTCACTAAGAGGCCACTTAGTTGATAGTAAGATTTAAGTAAATAAAAGGCATAAAGAAGCCATTTGTTTACTCATAACCTCATCTCATCTCATCTCATCTCATCTCCAAAGAGCCTTTAAAGGATATGCGTTTAATGGATGGTCTTAGTGGAGATTGTGGAATTGGCAGCCATATTGTAATGCTTTTTCTTAGTAATTTATATCTTTAATTTGTTTTTTTTATCTATTAGTTTAGGGAAGTGTTTGTGGGGATTCTTTTTTTATCTACCAATTTGAGAGAAACACATTCATACTCCACTAAATTACATGCCACTTATGCGATCAACTTTATAGCCTTTGTTTTTTTACTATTTATCATTTTATTTTAATTGCTCGAGTATGATTTTATGATTCTATTTAAGTATCTTTTGTTAAAGAGCTCTCGTTTATTCTTGTCATATAATATATAATAGTAAATCTTGTTAATTCTTGATTCTGGAATGTTTAGATGAAAAGATCTCTTTCCATTATCACTAATAACGATCTTTGGCACATGCCCTGCATTAGAAGAATCTGTCGACCTATTTTTCCAACGGCTGACCAAAGTGATGAGATATTCTTGTTCGGGTTATCCTCTAAAACTTATTTGAAAAACCTATCGTGTTCTATCTGATTAGCTACGATATTCAATTATTCCAATCAAATTAAATGAGACAAATTAACGATTCTCGAGTAAATCATTTGCTCATGAACCAAGAAAATTACATTGGGAGGTAGCCATTCGCGTTTTGAGATACATCAAATGCGGTCTATTTCTGGATTTTGCATCTTCATGTGAAATTCATATATTTCTTGTATGTCTAAAAAGCAAAACCCAAAGGTTATTTTTCCCTTGGAAATTCAATTATTTCTTAGAAGGGTAAAAAACAAAGTGGTGTCCAGATCATCAGTAGAAGCTGAGTATCGATCTATGACAAATACTTGTTTAGAGTTAACTTGGTTGAGATACATTCTTCAATACTTGAAAGCTTAGCTGTTCGAACCAACATTGTTGTATGCGGATAATCAAATAGCATTACATATAACAGCCAATTCAGTTTTTCACGAACGTTGAAGCACATTGAAATAGATTGTCATATAGTTCGGGAAAAGTTACAAGTTGGAATCATCAAACCATGTTATGTTTCGATGATCACGCACTCGAGTCTTGTCATGATCACGCACTTGACGAAAGAGCTTTACAAGCGGCATTGCCCTTCACTCGTTGTCCAAGATTCCCCACTACTGCCCCCCATGGGAGTCTGGGCCATGTCTCAATCCTAGTGTGGCTAATCATTCGAAAAGACAGCAAAGCATCATTGGCTTGGTCAACCTTTACCTGACCAACGACCTAATACTACGCAGACTCATCAAACAATGCTTTTTAGCTTGATTCAGGATTTGACCGGAACTGTTCGACAGATTCCCATGCGTTATGCTCCCGTTCGCCACTTTGTTCTCAACTGTTCCCACCCCTTTTGAAAGGCGAGACAAGCTACTTTTTTAAATTCCAACCCTCCCGAAACTATCTCTCTCGATATATATGTATACACACATATAAATTAACTTAACTCAACCTAATTTAATTTTTATGGTTTGAATTAGATAATTCAAGTGAGTCGAATAATTTTTATGGTTTGAGTTAGTTAATTCGAGGGGTTCGGGTCAATTGAGATTTTAAAACTTTATATTATCAATGAAAGAAGCCATAATTCAAGAACTCTCCTATAAGAAACGTAAAGTCAAAAGCAACGCCCCTATTGCGAATGAAGAACAAATAAAATTAATAATTATTAATAATAAAGTAATAAAAGCTTCTGTCAAAAAATAAAAAATAATAATAATATAACAAATAACCAATAACAAATAACAAAAAGAAAGAAAGAAAAGAAAAAAAAAAAACAAGAACAATAAATAAATTCAAGCAGGAGGAGAGCAGTTTCCTTCGAGGACAAGTTCGAGCGCGAGACGGATGCAATTATCTGTGTTTATTCAATTCGAATTCAATTGACTTCGACTTCCTTGTTGAGCAACGCAATTCGGAATAAATAGGGCAGTTTCTGAGGATTTCTTTGTGAGGGACACTCTTCGATTTATGTTTGTTTTGGGAAATTTTGATTGATTGGTTGATTCGCCCCTTCAATTCAAGTTTTCAGGTAATACTTGTTTGTTTCTGTGTCTCAATTTGTAACTCATTGATTTCTGTGTGAATTTTTCTCTGTTTAGCTCAACATTGTGCCGTTTTCGATGTCCTTGAGCAGCTGTTTTTCACTTTGTATCGCTTTGCTGTTCAATTATTAAGGAATTTAAAGTTCTAGTTATGAAATTCGATGTTCCTTCTGACTAGACTCAGAATGCTACCACGTGCTTGATGATGGGTATTTTGTATTTGGGGGGGGTTTATCAATTGTGGAACTGAAGGTATTTTTGATTGATATATAGCAGGGTGATTAAGGACTTATTTAATGACTTCAAGAACATTGAGGAGGAGGCTCCATCATGGTGATGTTGATGGGAAAAGAAATGAAAAATATGATGCTTCTGGCTTCGAAGGTTTGAGTGAGCCTCTGCTTGGCAGCCATGAATATAGTGATAGAAGCTCGGAGGTTAGAGCTTAATTCCTTTTTTTCGCCTCCTTACTCTTTTCCCCTGTTGGAATTATCCTTATCCTGTGCTTTATAAACTGTCCTGAGTGCTTATGGTATCGTGTTATTTGTTTATTTTTCCTTTAGCAGTCTTTGGCAGTTGATTCCTTTGTTGTTTTTCTTATAAAAGGTACGCACACTTGAAGATATTTGGGACGATGAGCGGAAGAAGCAACAGCTACACTGGACCCTTCTGTTTTCTCAGTTGATTGCACAATGGGCTCAGTGGATAGGTATGGTTCTTTTCTTAGAATGGATTCTGTTAATACAAGATAAAGCATTCAGATTAGTTTAACTAATTTGTAGTCATGGACTCATGGGATCTGATAATTTGGCTGAAAGATTTGTAATGAACTGAAAAATATTTCGTAGTTTCAATTATTTTTATTGAATTGGAGGAAGAGAATTTATCGGCTTCAGTGATTTTAAAAATGTTTTATGTTCAAACAATAAATTGAAAATTATCTTGTTTATCTCATTATTCATGATGCTTCCTTTTTAAACATCATATATATATATATTATAGTTTATATGGTTAGACAATACCATATGGACACATCACCTGCTATCCCTTCACAAAAATCCTGGTGTATCCTTGTGTTTGTGTAACTTCTCTAGATCAACATTTATATTTTTAAATATTCGAGACTCAAAGTTATTGCAGTGGTTGTGTTACTTTAGTTTTTATGAGGACCAACACTACAACAGTTTTGGTCTTTGTTAGTAGACACTTCTTTTAGCTCTAGCAACTACCAAGGTACTGTTTTTATGTTATAGCCTTCTTCCTGCAGCATGTAATGTTACATTTTATATAACTGTTTTGAGTGCCTGTGAGCTAATTGTGTGTTCAAGTAGGAAGGGATAATTTTTTTTTTTGAAAATACTGTTCTCTTAGTTATGGAAAACGCATGATTGTGAAATAAAGTAGGAAACTTCAAGTAGTTTGGAAAATACTTCTACTAGGTTAGGGCTTTCCATTGACTTCCTATGTTAGTTGGATTATAGTAGTCCAGGTATTTCTTTCAGTAATGATGCTAGCTGATGCAATGAGAGGATGCCTACTGTTGAAGATCATCAGTATTTTACTACATTAAGAATGAAGTAATTGATCTTAAAGGGTGGATAGAAGTGTGGTTGGAAGCGAGGGAATAAAAGGAGCTCAAAGGGAAGTCTGTATTGTGGTTGGAAAGTATTTTATCTCTATAGAGAAAGTTGTTTATCCCAACTAAGAGCTGTTGTAGATGGAGAAACTAAAGAGTATTTGGAGGAATTTTTCTTTGAAGAAAAAAGTTAGGTGGAGAATAACTTTCCCCATCAATGGCTTGAGGTCACAAAATACCAATCAAGATAGACCTCTCCATATTTTTGATTACCACCTGCTTATCAAGGACTTCTTTGATTGATTCAAATAGTTGAGAATATCAATATCTTTGACTAATTCTATATGGATATAGTTGAGGATTATCAGGTAAACTAGTTGCTTATTAGTAGAAACTTGCAAGGAAGTGGGTGCATCAACTTGGTGGGAGAAATCAGAACATTCAGCGGAGAATCGAAACGATAGGAATCTGACGATTGTGGAGAACAGAACTTTTTGGAGAACTTGGTTTTTACAATTGGGTTATGAATGCATACTACATCTACAGTTTTAGCACTGTCAGCAGCTTTAACTTCGACAGGATAAATAGAGAACATGTTTGATGGTACACCATAGGACACGAGACTATAATGAATACTATTTGGTTCTCGACCATTTCTTTTGAGGCTATCAATTTAGTTCAAAGAATGGATAGCAAGTCTTTGAAATAAGCCACCTATAGGTTTTTAAACACTATCCTTTGGGGTTTCTGTTTGGACTTTGGAGAAGGAGCAGGAGCATCAGGTTTCCATTAAAAAAAAAAAGTTTCTTTTTTTCCTCAAAAAGGGTATAAAATATTCTTGGAGAAGTATTTGGAGGCATCTCTCCTGTTAAATCTCAAGCCAGCTTGCACCAAAGAGATATACAAGCTGTAGCATTCAAGCTCTCTTCTCTTGGGAAACAACAAAACCTTTTAGATAATACTGAATGGGGGCTGTGAGCAAATTTTTCTGTTTCATGGAGGAAATGGAAACTTCAAAAGGAAAATATTTTAATACTAGAAAATGTTTGTTAGTGTATTAAGGAACGCATCAACCATTTTTAGCTATTAATTAGTCTTAATCGAACATTCTATTGCTTAGATTTGTCAAACTTCCTTCACTTAGTGGAACCCAAGTGGCTCTCATAATGATATTGTGTAATTTTTGTGAAATGTAGTTTCTATATAATGAATTGAGTGGCGAACTCAGGGAGATGAATTGATGGTAGAGTATGTTGATCATTGTCAACTAATACTGTCTTAATTTTTGTAGCAAACATTGTCTTTGGTTCTGGAGCACTCTTTGGTCGACTTCTGCCATTTTCTATGACTACACACAATGGAAAAAACCATAGGGTGGCTCCACCTCTTAGTCTTGTAC